TTAGACTCAAATTTTAATTTACCTGAAGAAAATCAACAACAGAGCAAGACACACTAACTGGATGAACAAACACACAAATCTGGAAATGGGTGATGTTTGTATGGACTCACACATCAGATGACACGACCGACGTGACAAGGACTACAAAATCTTATACACATTAGCTCTGTTCAAAAACACAGCCAATCAGTCAAACACATCTTCTCCAAAACCTGCAGTTTCTCTGCAGCGATCATTTGCTATGTTCAGTTCCTCAGATGACTAAAGATGCTTTTAAGGAAAACAAGAAAACAATAATGCTTTAAAAAAAAAAACAGGAGAGACTAAACCTACTGAAGCTCAGCCTTTCTTCAGCTGCCAAGGCTCGTGTGCACCTTTTAACTGCTATTTACTCTGAAAATGTTCATTTGGCCTCGCGCTGATATTTAGAGGGAATCCTGGAGTTCTGTAGTATCAGGAAGAAAGAAAAAAAAAGCTCTACTGTGTACAAATGGTTGGAGGCCTGTGAGTTTTGCGACAATGAACGTGTGAAAGAGTGTAAGCACCTGATAAACAACTTGCTGACAGGCTGAGAGCATAACAGAGAAAAGTTATTCCCATCTCGAAGCCTTTATAGTGGCCACCCTTTTGAAATATCACAGTTTCAAGCTGCAAATCAGGAGTTTTTGGCGAAATATAGACACAAACCGCCAGCTTTCAGCAGCGCAAACGATGATCATTGAACAGTAAAGTTGATCTATAATCACAGTACGATCATACAGACAGAATCACTTAATGAGGTTTCCTGTGTCTGCTATATCGTTTCCCAGTTTATACACGTATACAGCTGCTTTTATCTCAATCAAACAGTTATAATATAGAAGTATAACAAACTTTATGTCTGCGGTGATATCACAGGTGTGTCTCTGTAAAACTTAAACCAAATAATTATAACCAAAGGTAGTACTGCAGGACTGCAATTAATGACGATTTTCATTGCTGAATAATCTGTGGATTAGCTTTTGCATTGATTAATTAGTTGGTTGATGTATAACAAGTCAAAAAATGATGAAAAAGTATAACAAGTGTTTCCCAAAACTGAAGAAAAGTTATTCTAAAATTCTGCAGGTTATGATAAAATAAAAAGATTTATTTTTTTAAAGTTTCAGGCAAATTAAAGACAGTCAAATACAGGGCAAACACCCAAATTTTATCATGTTTTGTCCAGTATGGCAAATACAAATGTTAGTAGACTATAATTAACACAATAGACAGATATGTTTTATGCACAAAATGAAGAAATCATCCCTTTTTTTAATTATCCTACACGCTACTATCTTTAAAATCAAGTCATTCTGATGCATTAATAACATTTCTGTCACACTTTAGGCTCTACAGTCACTTCATGGCAAGTGTAAAACTGCATTATATGAGCTGAATTTGACCTTTAAAGCTATTTTGAAGAGCAGAAATAACTGGAATGTTTAGAATGTGTGGCACAGAGCAGGTAAAATAATGAGATGATAATGTCTTTATGACTGCTTGGCCCAAATAAAAGCATTTCAGCAAACTAATAAATCCCAGTCTGAATAAATCTGGCTAAAAGGAGAGCTTGTGGCTAATTAAACAGTCACAGCCAAGCCTGTTGCAGTACAGTAGCATCACATTTCCACAACAGGAAGTCGGGAGCCAATCAGCTGCTGCTCTACTTTACCGGGAGCCAATCAGCTGCGAGCGGCTCTAATTAAGGACAATTAGTTCCCGGTGTGTTTTCCACATGAAAGCAACAATATGAAGGTTGTAATTAGCCAACAAGCTCCTGACACACGCAAACAAACTGCTCTAATGAGTCAACAACACTTCCCGACATTTTTTTTAAAAATACGAGGCAAAATTGTTCACGACTAACATTTATTATCATTAAATACATATTAGAAAATAAACAAAAATTGCATTAAATGTGGCGTCAGTGACGCAGTTTTCGTTTCTTCAGCGCTATCACTCGGTGATAATTAAAGAAACCCAACTAAAAAACAACAAATTTACATATTACGAAAGCAAAACACCGTATTTCCGCTAAAATGCAAAATGACACAAGTGTACGAACCCATACGTTTACAATAATAATTCTACTGGTGGAAAAAAAGATGCAAATGGTGTAATAAGTACCTGAGCTGGACGGCAGATAAATATCATCCACTCACACCTGCAGCTCCACTGATGCAGCTTCTTCTTCTTCAGGTGAAACTACAAACCTCACTGACGGAGCTCTGCTGCCACGCTGTGGTCAAACTGCGGTACTGCACCCACAGGAGGCCAACAACTGAACCGTGGGACTATTTAAGAATCACTGAATTTTTAATGCGTTAAATAAGTAAGCTCATTTAAAATTAAGTTCACCAACATATTTTGTTTATTATACACTGAAGCAGTGTTTAAAAAAGAAACAGAGGAGGCCATATGGATTTTAACGAAGAGCACTTCGCCACCAACTGTGGACGTGTTTTGTTTTTTTCCCAAACAGCACTTAAGACTTTGGTTAAAGCCTGCTATCTGCCAATCGGGAACGCTCCCAAAACAGTGTTGATTAACAATTTTTACAGCAACTCCCCGTTTACAGTTGACTGAAAAAAAGTGGCTCCCCCATCGTTACAGACTTTAATTTAATTTAGGAATCTCTTGATTGTTTTTAAAGCTGCCCTTTACAGTCAATGTCTCTGTTTGAAAAGGCTTTTAAAATCCACCTGTACAGAAAAGCATGCGTATAATAGCTTATGACTTTTTCAGTGTTTTATCATTGTCTCTTTTTTTTTTAAAGTTATTTTTTTTGGCCTTTTTGCCTTTATTTGATAGGACAGTTGAGAGAGAGACAGTAAAGTGGGGGATGGACCTGCAGCAAAGGTTCATGAGCTGGATTCAAACCCCTGGCCGCTGCATCGGGTACTATAGCTCCTGTACATGGGACACCAGCTCAACCAGGTGAGCTATAGCAGCGGCCCGTCATTGGCTTTTTAAATATTTTAGTCATTACTCATGTTGTACAGTCCTCTTGTAATGTTTTATTTTGAAAGGTGCTGTCATTTTTTTTATTATTACCACGACTGCTGCTACCACTACTAGTATTACTACTATTGGTATCATCATTATTATTATTTTCTTTTTCTAAACTCAATAGATTATCTATTTTTGCCTTTTATTTGGCGTATACTTCATCCTATCCCATCATGCACTGGGTGAACTGCATGTGTTGTGCTCTTTCACAGACATGTAGAACTACCTAAAAAACAAATAAATCACCTCAATTCTATTACATAACCCCAGAAAGGGTTTCCCATGTATTATTGAGCAGCTACAACAGGTCTGCTGATGCATATAGAATATGTCTCACTGCTCGGAGGGAGGAATGTGGAGCGACTGCTGAGACACCAGATCACCGAGATTAGATGG